AACCTAGCAGTTCGAAAGCACCCCTGGGTGCAAGTAGATAAATAGGGACCGCTTACTAGCGGGAAGGTAAACGGCGTTTCCGTGTGTGGCTCTGGCTTGCCAGAGCAGCGAGGTCACGCTGGCCACGTGACCCGGAAGTGTCTCCGGACAGCGCTGGCCCCCGGCCTCTTGAGTGAGATGGGCGCACAACCCTAGAGTCTGTCAAGACTGGCCCGTACGGGCAGGGGTACCTTTACCTTTACCTTTAAAAGAAGTAAAGTGAAGGTGTCTGGTGACAATAGACAGGGATTTCCTAAGTGTGTGTTGCTACACAAGAAGTTTGATTTCTTATAAGAGTGGAATACGTATTATGTAGGCATCTTGGCCAGGTCCTGCTGGGCAACAAGATGGCAATGAGGAAGAGATGAAGGTTGGGAAGCAAAGTTGGTCTCATTGTGGATTGGTCACCCTCATGTCTGTATTAGTGCACGATATGCAACTTATTGTGCTCTAAAACTTGCATCAAGTTGCGTGGAAGGTGTCTTCTTAATTTGTTGTTACAACTTATTGCCCACCCTTCATCTTAATTAAGATTGAAACAAAATATTACACAATATTAAAAACGATTTAAAACAACTTAAAATTACAGAAATAAGGGGAGTCCTTAAAAATATGCATCTCAAGTGTCAAAGGTAGCAGGGTAAAGAGTTGCATCTTCAGCATCATCCAAAAGCTGTATAATGAAGGCACCACACACACCTCTGGGAAGAAAGTTCCACAAATTAAGGGCTGCCACAGCAAATTCCCTTTCCTGGGCCGCCCTCTTCCCTGAACGAACTTCTCAGGGTGGTGGAACAACCAAGAGGGCACCTTCTGCTGATCTTAGCAGCCAAGCGGGTGTGTAGGGAAGGAGGCAGTCTTTCAGGTATTCAGCGCCTAAGTAATTTAGGGCTTTAAAGAGTAACATGAGCACCTTGAATTGGGCTGGAAATGAACTGGCAACCAGTCCATTGTGCTGCTTGTATGGAATGGGGAGAGATGAAATTGCCTCATGCCCCAAGATGCTCTGGAAAGAGCTGACGACTGTATTGTGGAAGAACTCTGATATTCCCTAGGCTTAACCTTAGTAAAATGCTTAGAATATAAATTAAGATCCACTGATTGAAGAATAATTTTGTTACAGATAACTGCTTAGGATCATAGCCAAGCTCTTTTTTCTGTTATGACATGGCAGCTGTGCCCTTTCTTCCAGATCTTGGGAAGGAGTTTGCGTTTGATGTCAAGAGCTTATGCAAGTTCCCTAACGCTGCACCACGGGAGGTTTGTTTTTTTCATACTGTGTTTGTCTGGTTTGAATATACTATGTTTCTGTGTGCTCCTTTTTTCCTCTTCTGGGCAGAAAACATTACTCTGTGAATTTCTGCCATGGCATTAATTTGCTTCAAGAGGTGCACCTTTCAATATAAGTCCTTGTCTATAAATGTAGCTTTTACATGGTGAACTTGCAGATCTGGATTGTACAGTGCTGTAAATATATACTGTACAGTGCAAAAGTATATGCAAGGTAATTGATTGTTTTGGAATTTGCCATGAATATGTATAACTTCATTTGTCCACCTCTTTTGCAGATGGGAGAAACTAACACAGTAGTGCTATGCAAGCTTAATGAAAGCCAGTTCCACTGAAAGCTTTAGAACTTCAGCGGCTAGAATCTGAATAATTTCTCTGGGAAGGGTCATGGCTTAGTAGCTGACCATATCCTTGTAGCTGACCAGAAGTTCCAAGGTTTCTCACAGCCTCACTATTAATGATATTTTAAATTTGAAAGATCTCTGCCTGGAGCCTAGCTGAATTGTTGCTCATCAAAATAGAAAACACTGTACCAGTGTCATACATAATATGTTCTGTGAAGTTTAAGATAACAGCTTTGAACAGCAGATGCACGAAGAAACAATTTTTGTTATGTATTGCAAGGAGCCACCGTTCAAGAAACACAATTATAAAGGCCGTGTGAGCTTGCAAAAAACTTTTTTTGGGGGGGGGGGGATAATCCTGTTCAGCATGTAGGGCAAAGATAACCACTGACTTAAAAGAATATTTAACATTCATTTGCTTCTATATTCTTTCTAGACAGGTTCCTTCTAGTCAAGGATACAGTATGTAATCTTAGAAATATGAGTCTCTTCGTTAAAGATACCTTTTTCTCCTTTACTAATGCCCTTCCATTTTATTTTATTTCAGAATACAAAAGTCAGAGTGAAGTTTCCTGGGTCAAAAAAGAGAACTACATTGGTTTCTTCTAAATCACTGAGGTCCCAGCATCTTAAATCTTTTGTCTCCAAATTTCAAGAAGCACGCACCTTCAGAGAACTGTCTGACACACTCAGAACAACGGTTCTGTGGTGCAAAAGCAATAAACTTGGGCCAGAGGCTTTTTTCTTGGGAATGAAACTTCTGAAAAGTAGGCGGTTACAGCATGTGGAAACACAGGGTTGCAGGTTTGTATAAATGGCAGTGCTGGATTTCTCTGAGGTAGCAACTGCAGAAGACTATTCTGTGCTTACTATCTTCCTTCCCTGATCATGAGAAGGCTGCCATAAATGTGGGAAATTATAGAAGGTGCAGGTAACTGCAGGATAGATCACTGCCACAGCATCCTGTGATTTGGCACTGTTAGAAGCATAATGCAAAGTGTGCTATGTCGGTTTCCCCTAAACTACTTGCAGTCTATGCCTACCTAGAACTATTATTCTGTTCATAGATCTGTATATTAAATAAGGTAAGACTGATGGGTTTTTATAAGAATATAACTTTACCTTGGGATTGTGGCAGTGAAGGAAGGTATATTCCTGGTCACCACCACTAGCTGTGAGACCAAGGTGGGGGGAAACTTTGACTCACAGGAGGAACATCATGCTTACTTTCCTCTTTACTTCCCATTCCTTTCTCCTTTTGTATTGGACCTATTGGATAGCCCCTACCCACAGGCGCACAAACCTACACTTTTTAAAGAATTATACACTTGTAAGTGCCTTACCTGTCCAACCTATGGACAGTAAATTTATTATTTAATAACATTCATAATGTGGTAGTTACTCTTCCTCAGTCTGATATTTAAAATAAAACTAAAGGGGCAGGTAAAAACATATTTTGGAGGGCATGGTGTCAGTCCAGGCTGCAGTTTATATTAGATTTTGATAATGGACAAAGCTGTTCCAGATGAACAGACCAGCTTGTGCAAAAGATACTTGGTTATGCAAAATAATCTACTTGTGCTGTAATGAAGAAAATCCCTCTTAATTGTCAGCTTACTTGGCATTAAACTTTAGGGTGATTACTTTTGAGTAGACACAGCAAGAATTTCACTGTTAAAGTTGCTAAAATTTATCTTTGCATTCCAGCTTACAACGGAAACTTGGCTGCATTAAAGCTACTCTCTGTAAATATCTTGTGCTTTCAAGCTGCAGAGTGAGACCCAGCCAAAGACTTAAAGCACATTCCCATCCACAAAGACAGATGAAACGCTCAAGGAAATCAAGATGTGTTTCACGGAGTGCACCATCTTGCATTGTTCCCATACAAAGAGGCACTTCTATCCATTTGAAGGGCAGTAGATATCTTCCTCTTCCTCAGTGCTCTAGCTCCTTGTCTCCAGTTTGGGATGCTGACAACGGTGGTACTACCTACAGTGTTGAAAAACAATCACATGGCCATCCTTCTGACCTTGTGGGGCTTGGAAGAAAGCCTTCCCATAAACAGAAAGAAGCCACAGAGAATGAAGATGATATTGATGACATTTTTAAAGTAATAGGCCTATAGCATTCTGTTCCATTAAACTAATTTAAACTGTTCACTGAGTTTGTGTTAAGAGAGGATGGGTGTTACCTACTTAGAATGAATCAAAAACACTGCTTCCTGATTTGAAGTTTTTTGCAAGCATTATCATTACATAAGGTTGACACTTTAATTGCTGCTAAGTGGCAGACTAACAGCAAAACTCAGCTTTTGTATATAAGCAGCAGCATGCATTTAGATGCTTTAATACATTTTGTGCATGGACTGCACTCTCATTCCCCAGGGTGAATGTCTAGTGAAAATCACCTTTGGGGGGGAAACTGTAGGGTCCTACAAACCCATCCAAAATAGTACAATAGTAGGACTATGTCCACTTTGTAGCCAGAATGCTGGCTGATGGGTGGGAAGCAGAACACCAGCACAATAAGAAATGCACAGCACATGCAACCTGAGCAACATTGCACTGCAACATTTGCTTGCTTCAGCTATTTCTCAGTCTTAGCACTCCTTAGAATATGCTGAGACAGAACTGAACCTATACTGTACTGCCTAACTCAAAACATCAGCTACATGCTATGTAAACTCAAAGCAGGTAGAAGCAAACCAATCCTCAAAACTATTTGGTAATTAGAAATTGCTGTCAACTCAGCTTCTGCTCAGGTAGTTGTGCTTAGCTACTGTAGTGCATAGAGTTAATTTTTTTTTTAAAGCAAAAGTGATGTTGGTGTACCTGCTTATTGTGAGATTTTGATCAGCTCTGGCCCATCTTGAGCTGATACAAGCAGAGTGTAATCCCTTTGTCTGCAACAAAAGGATAAGCAGGTATCGTGCTACATGCTAATTGTTTTATTTCTCATCTATACCGAGAACACACAAACGTACATGTTGCCTCTGTGAGAGCAGAGAAGCAACTCACTCTCCAACAAAGAAACGACAGAACAGTGAAAAACAGGAAACCAGTGTACGTCACATCCAGTCTCCCATTCCCGTGGGAATCCAACAGTAATTCTGACTGTGGAATGTAAACAATGTCTTGTGACAAGCAGTTTTGCTGCTCAGTGAGGGAAATAGAAACCAACACTTATGACTACCCCACATGTGTCCAAAGGGGTTAATTCATGTTAACGTAGTTAAAAGCTGAGGCAAGCCTATTGGGCCTTGATCCCCACTGACTTAGTATCAATTGTATTGATACATAACCCTTTCAGAAAAGTACAGGAATCATCTTGGTTTCCCCATTACAAGAGATGCATGGGTGAAAGTGTTTATTCATATTCATTAAGAATTCCAAATCACTAGTATTTACTGTGAAATAACATTAATGGGAAGCAATTCATAAATTGAATCAGATATACAAAGTGTATCTTTACAGTAACTAAGCAAAACAACCCTCAAAAAACAAAACAATTGTTCCAGTTACAAAGTTCCCCCCAGTGAATTAACATTTACAAAACAAAGTGTTGGTTTGTCTTCTAGTAGCGGCAATATCCAAACATGTTAGCACCTGTTATGGGTCTTTCTCCCTCAGCTGAAAAAAAAGAGTACAAATACAGTGTTTCCTCCACTTACTCAAAGAAACAAAAAACTGCCTATAATATATGCCTCAACTGCCAATAGCTCTGATCTCTTGACATAATTGCCCATAGCTTTCATTCCTGTGTTTATGGAATGAGACACCTCATTTTTGGAGTAAGTTCCTGTGATGTGTACAACTAGCAAGATTGCTATTTTTTTCACAGTGTTGGTATTAACCTAGAGCTATGTACAGTGGAGGGACGCGGGTGGCGCTGTGGGTAAAAGCCTCAGCGCCTAGGGCTTGCCGATTGAAAGGTCGGCGGTTCGAATCCCCGCGGCGGGGTGCGCTCCCGTTGCTCGGTCCCAGCGCCTGCCAACCTAGCAGTTTGAAAGCACCCCCGGGTGCAAGTAGATAAATAGGGACCGCTTACTGGCGGAAGGTAAACGGCATATCCGTGTGCTGCGCTGGCTCGCCAGATGCAGCTTTGTCACGCTGGCCACGTGACCCGGAAGTGTCTCCGGACAGTGCTGGCCCCCGGCCTCTTAAGTGAGATGGGCGCACAACCCTAGAGTCTGTCAAGACTGGCCCGTACGGGCAGGGGTACCTTTACCTTTATGTACAGTGGTGTGTTTTCCAATTTTCACAGAATTTAAAAGCCACTAGAATTGCCACTTAAGGTATAATTTGTGAAGAGAAGGTACATCACCCACCCACCCTCAAACTGCAGAGATTTGTTCCCATTAGTAAAGTACTACTGTAATGGTCCATACTGTCATGGGGACTGCAAGAACTTCGCTTTGTTTGGTGAATCCTTGAGAGGCCAACACAAGTCAGAAAAATGAAACATACCATTCTGCACATACCACCCATCTGCATCACATGATGCCTTAAGATCCATAGTTTGCTTCATCAAATGCCTTTCTGGCCCGTTTCAGTTCTTCATTCATTGTTAACAAGTCTTTCACACGAGCAAACTTCCGTGGGTCTTTACGGATCAGGAAGACAATATCTTCAACCTGTACTCGACCTTGCCGTCCAATTGACATTGCTTTGTGGGTCTATTGGTAGGAAAGAATTGATCAGTCACATACATTCTAAGAGAGATTCAGTACCTGTACCATGGATTTGACCATGTGTTCTCTTGAATGTTTGGATTTCTTCCCTTGCAACAACCTGTATCATGAAATGAATTGTAGTAAACAACACTAAAACACAGCCCTCATTATGCTTGTAGCATTCTTCATTTATTCATTTAAAGTGGGCTGATCAAAAGTTGCCTGATATACGTCTTCCCTTCCAGGCTCTGCTCTCTGGTTTTCAAGTAACAAACAGCAGCACTAAAAACAGATAATATCTCACAGCATCTGCTTCACCCAATTTGTAATCTCATACAAGCAAACAAGCAAGACTTACCATTTCTGTGATGAATTCTATAACCAAGTCTTCAAGAATATCCACTGACTCTGTGTAAGGATTCTGGTCATCTCCAAATCCATACATCATACATCTTACTGTAGAATGAACAAATGCCCACAGTGAGATATGTAATGGAAGCACTCTAGAAAACTTAAGACCTATTCACTATGTTTCTCAATAAGTGTGACTCGGCAGTCATAGTCTTCCAAATTGTTCAAGCAAGCAGAAGCCTACATCTAAGCTTCTCAACTAATTTTTAAGTTGCAAATATTCCCCACTTGGAAGTATATGCTGGATGATATAGGGTTCTTAAATCAAAACACTGTCACCCTGTTGATGGCAGTATGCATACTTTCAAGACAATGCCCAATAAGGTGTTTTTTCAATGGAACCTTGATGCTAAGAACTGCCGAAAGTATGTGTAACTCCAATGAAAAGCTGCATGTCCAATTAATGATCCCAAATGAACAACACTACTCAACAGATCTCTATTGTGCTCTGGTTATATTTAAAAAAGCTTAGACTGGTTTGCCAAGTATGCTTCAGTGCAACTGGATACTGTCCAAATTACTAGTTGTGTGAATACTGCATTACTGCAGAAAAATGACGTTTCCTTGAAGGGAGTCTTCAAGGAAATGGCATATTACTGTAGCACTGAAGTATTTAGAACCCAAATTGAGCGCATTCAGCACAAGGCCTTTCTCCCTTACCCTGAGGGAGGGGAATGATAGGCTACTGCAGGGGTGTCCAAACTTTTCTCAAAGAGGGCAAGATTTGATGAAGTGAACATGCGTGAGGGCCGACCAAAGTTGTTGACCTTTTTTTAGGATTTTCGAAGGTTTAAGCCTCCAAAAGGGACTTTGGACATGCCTGGGCTAATGTGTGCTTCCTAACAGCCACAGAATGCAGCTACAAGATCGACAAATACAGATGTATTGTAAAAAGTGGCATTCTAAATCAAAATCTGAGGGAGAGTTCATGTACATATTAAACTCTAAAAAACATCAAGATCAAGTGGAGCATGTATGCATGAAATAATAATTTCAGATTTGTTGTTGTTGTTGTTTAGTCATTTAGTCATGTCCGACTCTTCATGACCCCATGGACCAGAGCACGCCAGGCACTCCTGTCTTCCACTGCCTCCCGCTGTTTGGTCAGACTCATGTTTGTAGCTTCGAGAACACTGTCCAACAAATCTCATCCTCTGTCGTCCCCTTCTCCTTGTGCCCTCCATCTTTCCCAGCATCAGGGTCTTTTCCAGGGAGTCTTCTCTTCTCAAATTTCAGATTAAATACTTTTTATTCTACCTCACATAATTTCACACAATACATTTTAATGGAAATAGTTCACATATTCATCTATGAATCAAGTGACATCAAATGGCATGCAAAAATGTGTGAATCAGCCCTTAGTCTCAAGCTGGGCTTGAGGGTTTCTACTTCTATTTATCCTCCAGTCTTTTCTGGAATTTAACTGTGATATCAATATTCAAAAAGCAGTTTATGGAGGTGGGAAAGGGGTCCTTTAGAAAGTAGGAAAATGTGAAGAGGTTAAACCTTATAGAGTGGTACCTCGGGTTAAGAACTTAATTCGTTCTGGAGGTCTGTTCTTAACCTGAAACTGTTCTTAACCTGAAGCACCACTTTAGCTAATGGGGCCTCCTGCTGCCGCTCTTCCGCCGCTGCACGATTTCTGTTCTTATCCTGAAGCAAAGTTCTTAACCCAAGGTACTATTTCTGGGTTAGCTGAGTCTGTAACCTGAAGCGTATGTAACCCAAGGTACCACTGTAATAGCATGAAACACAGGAAGCTGCCTTATACCAAGTAAGATCTTTTAGCTCAGTATTGTCTACACCAGGGGTGAGGAACCTGTGGCCCTTCAGTTGTTGGGAGTCTAAATCCCATCAGCATGATCAGTGGAGCCCCAACTTACATTCCTTGGAGAACAGCCTTTTCCTTTTCCCCTGTGCACCATCTGGGCCTCCTCCAGCCTCCTCAGTATCTTCTTCAAACTAAAGGGGGGGGAGAGAGAATTCCAAACAAGAATGCAAGAGAATTATTAATTATTATTATTATTATTATTAATACCCCGCCCACCTGGCTGGGTTTCCCCAGCCACTCTGGGCGGCTTCCAACAAAATATTAAAATACAATAGTCTATTAAACATCAAAAGCTTCCCTAAATTATAAATTATAAACTAGGCTAGAACTGAATGACAGAACAGCGAACCTCTGAACAATATCCTACAAACCCAAGAGAAAGTGGCAAGGAAGGGGAAAGTAAAGGCTAAGCTGGTATCAGATTGCAGCCGCACCCCCCTGCCCTCCCCGCCCCCTCTTTCCCCGAAGCCAGCAAGCGCCTTCTCCAGACTCCCACCCCGGCCTTTCCTACTCACAGGAGGGTCCTCTTCTTCGTCCGCCATGACTGCAGCAGCCACCTTCCCTTCCAGGCTTCCGCCGGGATAGCAACTCGCGTTCTTATTGGTCGCGTCGACGGGCACTCTTGAGCATGCTCTCTCGGAGCTAATGAAGCTGTAGACCTTGCCCTTTTCCAGTCCCTTCTTTCCGTAGCTCTGAGGAACGCGAAATGGGTGGGGGTGGGGGTGGGGGGTTTACAAAGCTAGCAGCACGCGTGCGCAGTAGGAGCGACTGAAGTCCCTCGCCCTCTTTGGAAATGGACTTGCCGTAATAACCCCATTCAAAGCGCATGAGGAGTTTGGTTCCTGGGGCAAGATGGGCAGGGTGTTGGATAAAGCTGAAACATATTAAACAACCAATTCCCGCCCTTTGTGAGTGGCAACGGACGGTGCAAACAAGGAGCTTCGTGGTAGCTTAAAGATGAACAGGTTTGCAGCAGCACAAGTTTGGAGTCCACTTCATCAGTACATTCTGTATTCAAACTTCAAATGCTACAATAAATCTGCTAGTCCTTAATGTGCCACAAGACTGTTACTTGTGGTGTCTTTGTAACTTTTGTTTGCTCTCGAATATACAGATTTGAGTAGGAAGTAATAAAATAGGCAGTGATGGTGATAGAAGTAAAAAAAACAACAACTGCTCCTTTTCCCTTATGGGGTACCCAAGAGCCCATATAGAGTCCTTTTGTAGGTTCTCTTATCAGTAGGAGAAAATAACAGAGACCAACCAGAGAATATTGAGAAGCAAAGCAGCTAGTAAGCCTGATCTTTATTAACTGTTGCAACAGGGTCCTCACTCACTACACACAGGAGAGAGGAGGACCCAGAGCCATGGGTGCAAGCCCTTATATAAACATTTTAAATTGCCTGCCCTGGAGTCCAAGACCACCCCCAGAAACATCATACATACATCACAGAAAAAGTGGTCTACAACAGAAATCTGAGTGCGTTGTTTATCTCCTGTCTGGCAAGTTACCTGATTGCATTATCTCGGTTTTGGCTACTCTTTTGTTATTATAACTACTTAATTCCTGAATCCAGGTTGCAGGCTCACACCCTGTTCATATCTTGAATGTGCCCTCAAGACAGGATTTGTGAGGAAAGAGGCAATGGGGAGGTTTCCCACTTTGACCTTGCAGAGAAATATTTGAGATCAATTTGTTCAGAACCTAATCTGTGGGGTTTCAGACATGTGGTTTATATATACAGTTATGCGTGCGCGTGCGCGTGCACACACACACACACACACACACACACATATATATATAAAACACCTTAAAATTCTTATAACAGATGGTCCTGAAGCAGCTCCCCAATGCAACAGCAGCTCCTTACTGTTTCCATTCCAGGATGCTGCTTGCCAGCTAGCAACCAACCCACAAGCATTAAGCATTCATTGACATCAGTTTGCTATAGTGTGTGAGAGAAACTTGCTCAGACCTCAAGTTTCTTGTTAAGCTCAAGCAGAGGGAATGGTGCCTTGCCCCACGACTGGGACTAAATCAGCATAGCAAAACTAGAGTGATTTATGTAAGCATTTGTCACAAGTAGCTGGGGAGCAGCCACTCTGCTTCTTTTAATTTTTTATGCAAATATTTATGCCACTGGGCTCATTTCCCTCCCTCCTGCATAATCATGTACCAAAATACTTGCTAACTGAGGGTAACACTTCATGAAGGGGACGCTAGTCCGGTCAATTTAAGATTGTAATAAATCTGTGACTTAATTAAAATGCAGTGGCAGCTGGGCCATTTAACATGTGGCGAGATAAAGCCACATAAATGCTTGAACAGTGTTGGCGATCAACTGCAGAGTTGAACTTGCACTCAGTTGTGAGCTGATCCATGCCTGTTAGGGTTCCATTATATGCTCTCATTAAGTTTCTCTATCTGGACTAAAGAGAAACACATATTGCTTCTAAGCATAGACCTTTGCTTCTAAAGTTCTGGTCCAATCAGTCAAGGGTGAGAAAATATGTACACTGTGAAATAATTAGCTGAAGCCGTATAAATAACTTAAATAGCATTTATTATACACAAATTATTCACAAGGCTTGGAAAAAAGAGAAGTGTATAGAGCAATAAATCTTGTCTCTTTTATTGGAAGAACAATGAAGACGAGTCATTAAGATTTGGGAATGAAGTATCATCAAGTGGACAGGGGAAGATTTCCAGTAACATGTGCTATAAAGCATCTCAGCAGATGGATTCCAAAGCAATACAAAGAACTGTAGAAACAATGAGAAAATGTTATTTGATGAGAGTGGAGCATTTGCATTACATGTGCAGTTCTATTTCTGACTGGGTAAGAACCCCTTTTCAAGTTTTACCTGACAGGAAAGAGTTGAGGAAAGCACACTTGTGTCTTTTTGTTAACAAAGTCTTGAATCTGTATCACATTTCTTGTCATCACTCCTTTTGATGCTTTGTCAATTTTAGTTAATACAATCTGCAAAAACAACAACACACACCCAATATTTTAAACATTGTAGAGCAACTCTTAAAGAAGTCTTGAATTCTTGGTAAAGTCTTTCAAATTTAGCTCTCAGATTAGGTGAGTATGCTAACATTGTTGATGAGTCTTTTTACTCTACAAAACAATTTTTAAAAACCCAAATTGTATATTTTGTTCTCTTCCAACTTTTCCTCACTCCAGTTTTATACTTATGGAGACTTCTGTGCGAGGGGAAAAAAACAGGTTTTCATATCTTCCTTAAGAAAAAGAAAAGGATGAGGCTTAGTGGGAACATTTTAAAAGACAATGGATCAGACCAATAACTTAGTACTGTATATTTATTTATTTCAATATTTATGTCTTCTTTCAATTTCTAAATCTACAAGACAAATATATTTCATTTCTAAAGGTGAACAGAGATCTCCATATCTTGTTAATCTTCCAGTATAATGTTTTGGATTACTATTTTATGTTGGATCCAGAGGATCTATGTTAGTGCTAAGCAACCTGGTTAGGACTGAGGGCAAGGTTGGAAACCTTTATATTTTCAAATTCACCTTCACATACATGAAAGCTAAAACAGTATACAGTATTTAAATAACAGCTAGGAATCTAGGATTCTAACAAGTATCAATGCACACATAGTGAAACTTGGGGTGTTAATACCATACCTTCAGTACATGATAAAGCTGCTTCAGTTTTTAATCACCTATGATCATAATTCATAAAAATCTTGCCTGTGTTATTATTTTTTCAACACAGGCTTTTAAAATCTCCTAGTCAAGTCTAATAGTTTCTACTTTCAAGTCATTTTTCAAACCATTATTCAACTGATAATAACAAAAAAGAACACTAATATTAACTGGACAAATGTATAACTTTGGCGGAATGGTGAATGGCATCCAGTGTTGTCCATGCAGCTGCAATAATGGCTTCCTCTTCCTTTCCTTCATCCTGGAGCCTCCAAACATGCCTAAAACCTGAATTGGGGACCCTGATGAGCATATTGGAGAAGTGTCACACAGGGCTACAGGAAAGAGGAAAAATGAAGAGAAGCCCCATTGCACTTGCAGAAGTCTGCTTACACGGCAATGAATACTTCCTCGTTTCTGCTACATGCCTTTTTAGTCCTGCTAGTTCAATATATTGACTGCTCACTGCCTTTATTTTTAAACAAAAATCACAACTCACAGCATAAGGGATCCCAAATTCTTCCAACATTTCTATAGCAACTTTGTCCATTTCCTGAATTCCGACCAGGCCGTCCACTAATAAGAATGTCCGTTTCAGACTAGAAAACATAAAACCACAGCTCAAAACTGTGCTTTGCAGCAATATATATTCTTTATCTGCAAATCCTAACTCTAGCCCAGGCAACAATTATACAGGCAACAATTTGGTCATCCTTTGCTACCTGCTGGGATGATACAGATGACCGCAGTACTGTTGGGTGAATGAGCTTATTCTGGGGCAGTTTGGTCATTTGTATGGACTCCAATACATCCTATGCCACATCCTATGCTACAAAGCAGGCAATCAGTAGGCATCACAACCTCTTTTTGCACAGGGCTTTGTGGAAAGTTTTACAAGTGCCTCAAATCAGCAGTGTATTTGGCCAAGTTGGGGGTCTACCTGCCCTACACCTGATGCATATAAAACAGCCTCGTGGGCCAAATGGGAAGGCTCAGTGGGCCTGATTAGACTTGAAGGCCAGAGGTTCCCCACCACTGCTGTAAAGAATGCTGTAAGACTATGTTAAAATAATATTTACAAGTACTGTGATTGGCTCACGTTTAAATAGACGCTGCATTTAAAAGCTATTTCACATGCCTTAGTTAGTCTAAGACACTTCCTCATATTGTTATAAAATGGATGTTTTTAAAATAATATTGTTTAACCTAAATTATTTCCCCGCATGATCCTGTAGAAAAGACTGAAATGAAATTTCAAGCTGTTATCTTACTTTGCACGGTGATTTAAATAAGGCTCCACCATCTCTGCAAAATCTTTGGGTGATCTGTAACCATAGCCTGGCATATCCACCAAAGTAAATAAATCCCCCACTTTGAAGAAATTCAGTTTCTTAGTGTGGCCCTGGAGAAAAAAAATGGGAGGGTTAGGGTTGTTTGGTCGTTTGTTTCATTTTATTCCAAAACTGCAAAACTGGGGTGGTTTCTCAGTTAAGATGATGAAATGCCACTGCTCCTCATTTGGCCAGTCTCTGACATGAAAGCATATGTAAGTATCATCGGATGGCTGTGAAAGATTGCTGTTCATACAGAGTACCATATTTTTCACTCTATAAGACACACTTTCCCCCCTCCAAAAATTAAGGGGAAATGTGTGGGCATCTTATGGAGTGAATGCAGGCTCCATGGCTTCAGCAAAAGCAACGCAAAGCCTCCGAAGCGCAGCACCGACCGCTCTCGCTCTCCTGGCTTCAGAGATGGCCCTCCAGAGGCTTCACGTTGATTTCGCTGAAGCCAGAAGAGCAACTCTTTCCTGGCTTCGGAGATAGCTGCCCGAAGCCTCCGGATGCATCGTGTTGCTTT